CTCACAACAATTCTCCTGCCTCAGCCTCCCAAGTGCTGGGATTACAGGCGTGCGCCACCATGCCTGGCTGTGCAGTCTTCTTCTTTTTTTTTTTTTTTTTTTTTTTCTGGTACCAGGAATCAAACTCACAACCTTGCACTTGCCAGGCAGGTGCTGTGCCGCTGAGCTAAATCCCCAGCCCCCTGTGCAGTCTTCTTGATTTGCTACGTTCTGTTTGCCAGTGTGTTACTGAGGATTTTTGCATCTATGTTCAGTAGGGAGATGGGCCTGTAGTTCTCTCTCTTAGCTGAGTTGGGTCCTTCTCTGGTTTTGGTATCAAGTTAATGCTTGGTCCCAAGAATGAATTTGGGAGTATCAGTCCCCTTTCAATTTCATTAAAGACTTTGAGAAGTAGTAGTACTAGGTCTTCTCTAAATTTTTTGTAGAAATAAGCAGTGAATCCGTCAGGCCTTGGGCTTTTCTTTGTTGACAGTTGTTATGGTTAGTGTCTTGATGTCCCCCCAAAGTCTCACACAGTTTTAGATGGGTCTTTTTCAGAGGTGGCTGGATCGAGAGTGTGTGGTCAGTTCATGGTGCAATGCTGGGATGAAGGGTGTGTGATGACTGAATCAGTCCAGTGGTTGGTTTGGCACAACCTAATCCTAGTAGCCTAGAGTAGAAAATGGGCAAAATGATGCTGTTAAGGTTGCTTGTTGCTTTTGCTACCTTGGGGGCCCATGACCTGTTCTCTGTGATGCCCCTCTGCCATGTGCCACCATGCCTTGGAGACAACCAACTACGGAATGAAACCTCTACAAACTGTAAGCTAAAGAAACCTTTCCTCCCTTAAGTTTGGGCATTGCGTATTTCATCTCAGCAACAAGAAAAGTAGTCAAGACAGTAGGTTTTTAATGACATTATCAATTTCATTGACTGATATTTGGTTGTTTAGAATATTTATATCTTCTTCATTCAGCTTGGGTAATTCATATATATCCAGGCATATGTCTATTTGTTCTTTATTTTCCATCTTACTAGAATGCAGTTTCTCCAAGGAGGTATTAATGATCTTCTGGATTTCTACAAGATCCATTGTGATTTCAATCCTTTTCATTCCTAATTGCATGGCTTTGAGTCTCCTTTTTTTGGTTTTTTGTTCTTTGGTTTTTTTCT